TTTTTGTTTCTGCAGGAATGTCAACTCTTAATTTCATGATGTATCATGGGCTTAAGAAAATTGAATTTAATAAAGGCAAAAGATGAATGGCACCTTTAAAGGTCCCAACACTTGTCTTTATTAGCAGGACAAACTGCAGGGTCTCCAAACACTGCTTCTCTCCAAATGAAAGTTTAAATGAAAAGTACAGCAGTGTCACAGGTTAAATTTCATTGCAGGACTGGCTAACGTCGTTAGTGAGGAGTGGGGCTGATTTCATGGGGCTGGTATCTGTTGCCTTAGATACCAGTCGAGCAAACACTGCCAGAGACTGGAAAAATCTCCGCTATAGGAAGCGTGCAGATAAACAGCCTTTTGGGAAAGGTCCTTTACCACTTTCTTCAAAAACTGACCAAATAAGCCCAAAAGAGTGGCTGCGCTTTCTCCAGAGGCGCTCGAGTGGCTCGGGGTTCCACCCCCACTCCTGGCTGCACACTTCCCACAGACCTGCAGTAATTCTGGATATTGTGAAATTTTCCACGTTTTTTTTAGTACGACTTTTTATTTCCTCTGTCTGTCTTAATCTGACCCTCCTGGAAGTGCTTTTTGCCTTTGATTCTGGAAAGCGAGTGACGCCTTTGTGTGTCAGACCAGCAGCAGGGCTGTCTTTCAGTCTCACTTTGCATCCAGCTGCTCCATGGCTCCTGAGAATGTTCCTGGTCCCTTAGGACCAACTTCGGCATTGCAACACAGCCCTGCTCTGAAATCCAGCTAGTGCGTGTCTGTCTCGGGGAGGGGGAATGCTCATCCTGCCCTGCTGTGGGCTTCCACGGTCACCCCCTGAGTGGGGTGCAGAGCGAAGGGGCAGTGAGCCACCCCAGCCTGGTTTGAAGGATGGAGTGGTGTTATCCTGGCTCTGTTACGATGTCCTGTCCATTGGCTTCAAACTTTGCAGTCCATTTTCCTTCTGAACAGAAACTTGCTGTGTTCGGACCCTATCTGTGGTAGCTCTTTTGAAGGGAGAATCGGCTGTGTCCAGCGTTTCTTACTCAGATCGAGTTTCCCCTGTTTCCACGGGTTCTCCTGCGTGGCTGAGGCTGGTGAGTTTGGCTGCACCACAGCAGGCAATCTGGGCGATGCTCAGGTGTTTTGCCTCTGTCCTTCTCCCCTTCCAGCCCACGGATGGAGTTTCATCTCTTTCCTGGGGAAACCTGGTGACTCCTGGTGGGGTGGTGCGGCTGTGGGGAAGGATGCGTCCAAACCTCCGCTCTGCCTTAGCCTGCGCAGCACGCACCGAGCGTGGCACAGCCGACCGCGGGGAAATGGTTAAGCCCTGCATCCTCTGCAGCTTGACTGCTTGGTGTCTACACCTGGGCACTTCAGCACTGTTACCGCTTTGTTTTATTTTAGTTTATTTTTTTTCTAACTTTCCATCTCAGCAGCACGTGCTCCACACGTGCCCCACCTGGGCTGTGTGCCTGCTGCTCCAGGGAGCTGCTCTGCTGCTGCCACCGGCTCTGTCCACCAAGGAAATCTGGTGTTTCTCCTGGCTATTTAAATTATTTGTTGTTTCCATTTACCCACCCAGCTTTTTGCCCTGCCTCTGCCTGCTGGGGTGGTGATGTCATCAGCTCATATGTGTGACTTCACGATAATTTCCGCCTGTGGGTCGTGAGGGTTGCAGCCAGGGTCCAAAAACTGTGTTAGTTCCTCTGCAGCGGCTGCATTTTCCACATGCTAATTTCACTCACAGGAGTTGGATTTTTTTTTTATTTTTTATTATTTCTTATTTGTCTCTTCCAGATGTTTTCAGGCAGTTTTTTTTGTTGTTAAACTAATTCCATTCATGTTTTAAAAATTTATGAAAGCACTAATAAAAATGTCAAAGTGGTAAAAATGTTAGCTTTTGCTCTGCTTTGATTAAATTTTGCAAACTGTTTTTGAATATTAAAAAGCAATATTTTTTTTATTCTCTCTCCCTCTCTCTGTTTCTCTCCAGAAGTGATTTGAGAGGCTTGTTGCATGGATATCACTCAGCGGGCTCATTTGCACTCCAGAACCTTGGTGCCATGCATCTCTATTAAATAACATAGACAAATTATTCTTTAAAGACACCAAACAAATTGTCACTTCTCCTCTTACATTAAACTGGAAGGAGGAGAGGGAGTGGAGAAGGAGGGGGGTGAACACAAAGAATTTTATCGCTTTTATTCAGTGATCGGCTTTTTTAATTTCATGCATATTTTTTAATAATTGAGAAATCCATCGCAGCTGGATTTGTTTAAACTTTTTATTAACAGGTCCATGTAAATTTTTGATTGCTGATTATTCAAATAATTGAACATTCTTCTGATGAAGGAACATTTTTATTTCCCTATCAGCATAAATTGGCTACAAAGAGGAAAATTAAGCAGGGCTCGCTACTGTGCCATATCCCATAGGGATGGATTTAGAGGGAGGGCTTCCAGCTCCTCTCCTTCCTCTGCTGGAGGAGAGCAGTGCTCTTAGCTTCTCCTGGGAAGGAGATGCTTCATGGAAGTAGCTCCTGTTGTTTGTCTGGGTGTCCTCCAAAAGGACAGCAAGGTGGAGAGGGTGGGACTGGTCTGGGGGGCCACAGCCCCTGGGCTGTCTGTGCTGCGCAGACGTGAGCCCATTGCGGGTCCATCTCCATGTTCCGTGGGTGGTGCCAGCACACGCGAGTGGTGCCAGACTGTCTTCCTGAGGCTTGGCTTGGGCAGCGATGTGTGTGTTTGCAGCACTGAGCACAGAGACGTCCCTACCACCCCTCCCAGCTGCGGTGAGTGTCGGCACCGTCATCCTCCATGCTGGTGGTGTTGGATGCGCTCTGTGCTCCGGCACTACGTTCCCCCTCCTAGTGCAGAGCTTCATGTCAGTCTCGTTTTTGTTTGGGACTGTCAGGCCCCTCTTTTTACAGCCAGCTTGCTAGATGAGATCATTTCTAGCTTCATTTTTCGTTTGTTTTGAATGAACAGCTGCTTTTCTTTTTGCCCTCTTCAGGAAATCATCGAATTCCCTATCCTGAAGCTGAATGGCAGGACGATGGAGATCGAATCCACCTTTCACATGTATGTTCAGCCTGTGGTGCATCCCCAGCTTACGCCCTTCTGTACAGAGGTAAAGTGCAAAGGTTCCCCGGTGCTCCAAGAGTTTCCCTGGGAAGCAGGTTTCTGTTGCACCAGGGGTTGGGGTCGCCTCTTCACGGTGCGGCAGCAAGGCAGCGTGTCATGCCAGCCTCGAGTTAAGGACAAGGGGAATCATCTTTTGTCATGGCAGTAGCGTGTAAAGACCTTGGTTCGGATTCATAAGGAACTCTAGCGGTGATCCACTAACTAACATCAGTTGTATTTACAAGTAACAAACATCTTCCTGGATGACCACAAAATAAAAGCACTCGTTAGCCAATGCTCAAAATCCTATAGCCTCTCTGTGAACTCTTCATGATTTTGCCATGCTGCTCTTTGGCGAGGAAGGTTGGGGGAGCGTGGTCCAAGGGAAGAAAGTGTCATACTACTGCACAGTTCAGAGGCCATAAATGACTCTCCTGTGGGCCTGCCTGTTGGGATTCGATGAGTCCTTCAGAGTGGTAGGGTAAACCACGTCTGTATTTTTAAGACTTTCTTTTTGATGTCGTGCTTGTGGGGCACTTGAAGTGATTGCTGAAGAAGTGGCCTCTTGTTACCTGGTTGCTCTTGTTGCTGAGGACAGCTGCTCGCAAGCTGTGGCCACCTCTCCTCAGATACAGACGAGAGGATGAAGGTGGTAAATGCGATCCCTGATGACTCAAAGGATTAGGGAGGCAGAGGTTGTGTTTTGGTTTTATTTTTTCTTATTACGTTTTCTTCACTCAACACAAAGTTAACTGTTTCTGTAAGCGCATTCTTCCTCCCTGCTGTAGCCATGAAAATAAAATTTCTAAGTTCCTTTTGCTTTGGGCTTTTTTGCTGTTACTCTGTTGTTTCAATATTGGCCAGGTCAGCGGCTGAAGTACTGACTATGGGAGTCAAGGTATCCAAATTCTTCATTCTGTCCTAGTCTCATCTGGGATCATCGACACCATGCTGTGTTTTCCTGACCTCCATGGCTACAGGTTTAGGTCCTTGAAGTACTTGTCCTGTGTGTACTAACTCAATGAAAAATGACTCCTCTGTGTTAGGTGGAGTCCTCTCCAGGACCAGCCAGCCCCTTCCATATTTCCACATTGTAAAAACAAATACTTTCTTTTTTTTTTTTTTATTCTCTTGTAACTAAAAACCAGCTGAAGGTATTTTATTTAAACTTTTTTTTTTTAAAAAAAAAGACTAAGCACAGAAAACATTATTCTCAGGAGAGGAGCTTTCAGAAAGCTATAAATGTGTGAAAACAGAGGGCTATAATGGAAACGGTTTTGCAACTTTAATACTAGAAGGCTGGACAACTACTTTGGCTGTCCTTATTCCCATGAGACTTGCTGGACATATGCTTGTACAAAGGTGATAAATCTCACAGCTTGCACGTGATCTTTGCTAGGAGCAACGTCATCTTCTAGAGTAGAGCCTAGAACATCCGTTTTGCTTGTCATCTAAATTCTAGAGAGAAGTTGTCTCACTACTTAGCTCCCACTAAATTCTTTTGTCTGGAAATTCCTCTGTTGCATCCTTCCCCTCACTGCCAAAGGTTGCAGCCATGTTGTTGCACAAGAGTCTGCAGGACTTGCTTGGTGTGGCTGTCCAGGCTGAATGGAGCCTCCAGCCTGCTGCAGCCTGAGGACATCGAGAGGTTCTCTGGATACCAAGCTTGTGACAGAGACATTCAGCCCATGTAATGCTCTGTCACCGTGGTGCCAGTTTCTCTGCCTTCTCTTGTGAGCCTGGAGCAGCTGTTTGTGTCTTTGCAGGTTCGTATCTCCTGCGTGGAGCCCTTCAGGAAGGAAGGCCTTGTGTGTGTGCTGGCCATGCGTTTTCAGGAGTCCTCAGGAGAGGCATGAGCATCCCAGCTGCAGTGTTGCACTGCAGATTCTGCTGATGACTTCAGTCAGGTGTCTTGTGTCCGGAGTTGAATAAAAATGGGCAGTGCTGAGGCCAGCAGGCAAAATGATCGCACAATTCCCACTAGTGTGTATCGGTGGCACAAAATGATCCAACATGCCAGGTTTGGCAAATTCTTTGTTGTTAACAGTGTTAATTAGGGAGCTGGTTTTAATCCTAGCCTGGAAGCCACCAGCTCCTGGGCAACCCCCAACTGTGCCCATGCCGCTCGTTGCACGGCATGACCCCTGTCCCTTCTGGCTTGGTGGTCCCCCTCCCTGTTGCAGGGGCTGCCATGAGGTCCAGGGAGTGGGATCATGCTGGAGGGGGGACTGGACTTGTTCCTTAGCCCTGTATCTGGGGCTGACTTTGAAACCCTGCCGTAAGAGCCACGGATGAGCTGGTTGTACTGAGGACCTTACTAAACAGTTGCAAAAATATCCTTCTGTATTTGCAGCTGCTTTTTTGCGGAGGCTGTAGTGGCTGCATAGGGTTGGTGGCTCGTGCTAGACAGATGCAGGGGTCAGCCCTGTGCTGCTGGTGTAGGTTCCTCTGAGACCCCGGGGACACAGCGGGTTGTGCTGTGTGTCCAGTTCCTGCAGAGCCGCTGCCTGCACAGCTCCAGCCCTTGTCGTTGACTTTCAGCTGTTTTATGTTTTCTGAAAAATACCCATTTTGCTAAATGCCAGTAAAGGGCTTTGTCTAGGCACCTCTACTTACAAAGGGTGAGATTTATTGGCCTCTTTATCTACGAAGAAAGACCAGGCCTGATTATCAGATTGTACACCAGAGACAAGTGCTTAGGTAATCAGCAAACTGTCTTGGAGTAGAAATACGATGGTTTCCCAGATAAACTCTGTAGGAAAAGCAGTGGTGTTGACATTACACGGGAGCCTGTCTGCTGTGCTGCTGCTTTCCCCCTTCCCCTCTGCTCGCTTCCTTTGTCGGGAAGCAGTAGGACTGCTTGGTGTAGATTGTGTGTGAGAGGTTTATTGGGGTTGTGTGACGTTACTTCTTGGATCTAGAGAACCTCCCACATCCCTCTTCCTTCTTGAAGAAAATGGCACAGCATGGAAAGGGTGTCTGCAAGGGTGGAGAGCTTGTGGTTACCCTCAAGACATCCCTTTACTTAGCTTTTGGGGTGTCTGCACTCTCCCCTGGCTACAGGAGGCTCCAGCTTCCCAATGCCCAGGGGAGGGCCGTTGTCCTCCGACATCAATGGCCAGTAGCACATCTTCCTGTGCTGGCTTGCTCTGTAGCCCTCCTCTGGTCCCCTTTATCTTGACCTGCTTCTGTAAAACAGCAAGGTTATGATGAGGGATGTGCTGAATGTTTAGACAGAGAAGGTGGAAAGTGCTTGCAAGTGGTTAAAAGCGGTTGTTAGGTGTATACAGCTCATCGTGCCCTCTTGGAAGATGCAAGTGGTTTGTCCGATGCCCAAGAAAGTTCATGCCAGGTGCTTAAGTGAAAGATTCCCTCTATGCAGAAGGTGCTTGTACAGGCTTTTTCATGGTACTTTGCTCTGGTTTTATGATTAATTTTTATTGATTTTTTTTCTCAAAGGAACAGACGATAAAAGTACAAAAAGATAAATGCCTTATAGCTTGTTTATGTTCCCAAGTACCATGTGCTTCTTGAGATCACCAGTGAAACTTTACAATTGTGCAGTTTTATGTTTTTACACTTTATCGAAGCTGCAAGACCAGGTAATGCTGCAGAGACCCAGTGCACTGAGTTGAGTGTTACAGATGGATGTGACTGATAACAGAAAGGATCAGAAAGGGTGAGACAGTAGAAATATGGTCCCTTCTGAGCACTCAGACCTGTTCTGAAATGTACCCATGAAGCAGGTATATCCCTTTGTATTCGTGTATGCAATTTCCGCCCGTGAATCTTGCATGCGTGTGTGCTTGGCGATGTGTTCTTTTGTGGATAAGTTGGTACTTTGCTTGGCCTGGCAGGGAAGGAGTCCTGGGCAAGATCAAGCAGTGAGTCTGTGGTGGGACCTCTGTGTCCGCCTTCCTGTCCCTCCCCCCTCCTGATGGGAAATGTCTGGATGAGGCCATTTCACCCTGTCCTCCTGTGGCCATCAAGGGTGCGGCACTGAGCAGTTGCAATCCCGAAGGTGCCCAGAGCGGTAGAAGCCATTTACATCTGTGCTGACTGTGATACCCAAAAGGTTGCCTGTCATCCTTAGTATAGGAAAGGCATGGACCTGTTGGAGTGGGTCCAGAGGAGGGCCACAAAAATGTTCAGGGGAGTGGAACGCCTCTCTTATGAACAAAGGCTGAGTGAGTGGGGTTGTTCAGCCTGGAGAAGAGAAGGCTTTGGGGAGACCTTCTTGCAGCCGTTCAATACTTAGAAGAGGCTTATAAGAAGGATGGGGACAGACTTTAGTAGATCCTGTTGCAACAGGAGAAGGGGTAATGGTTTTAAACTAAAAGAGGGTAGATTCAGACTAAATATAAGGAGGAATTCTTTTACGATGAGGGTGATGAAACACTGGAACAGGTTGCCCAGAGAGGTGGTAGATGCCCCGTCCCTGGAAACATTCAAGGTCAGGTTGGATGGGGCTCTGAGCAACTTGATCTAAAGATGTCCTTGCTTATTGTAGGAGGGAGGTTGGACTGGATGACCTTTAAAGATCCCTTTCAACCCAAACTGTTCTAGGATCATTTCCAAAAAGCTTGTCTTTCAGCCAGCCACTTTCAGAGGTTTGATTTGAGCTGCCTTCTGAGAGGCAGAGCCAGCACTTTGCAGCAGGTGAGCTGTCCACCTCTGCCAGGTGAATGCATGGAGAGAAAGATGGCAAGAAAAGCAAAGAACAAGCCAGTGAGCTTTAAAAACTGCTGTAAAGAGCCATGTGTTAATCTCTTGAATGTATTTGCCTCTCAGAGTATGGGAAGTCTGTAGGTAGCAGCCGTTACCCAATTAAAATATAGATTAATAGAAAAACAGTTTCTGGAATATGGGTGCGTGTCCCTCCACTTCCTTAAAATTCCACCTCATAATGGCTTGATGAACTTGAGAAACCCACCTAGAGGAACTCTACATTCTTAAAATTAAAATACTTTCCCTAAAAGGTATATATTACCATTCCATGGAAGTCACTGTGAGAAAATAATCTTTCCACTTACAGCTTATTCAGTGAGTCAGGTATTTGGTATTCATTAAATGTAATTACAGTTTAATTGGAGTTTAATCTCTTTTTTTTTTTTTCATCCCTTCCTCCGAGTTCAGTGCTGTAAGCCAAGCAGCCAAAGAAACAGAGAGGTAGAGCTTCTTTCAGTTGCCACACACTTAATAAAGCAGAGCCCTGTGGTTTGTGAGAGGGCTTATGTTTTACGAGTAGGTTGAGCTGTTCTGCGTGGCAGAGTTACTCCTGGGTGGTGGTGGGCTGTCAGCACCTCCTGACTGGATGCTGTGGCTTCTGGGGGCTCGGATGCATGTGCGGGGTGTGCTCCTAGGCTGTGTTTGACCTTTATTTTATGAAAACGTGTGAGATGTGTAGCTTGAGGAAAGTGCCATATGAAGTGAAATCCTGTAGTGTGCGCTTGTTTTAATAATGATTTTTTTAATTACTTGGGTGCATTGATGGCAAGCTACTGACCTCCGATATTCAATATGTTAAAAGACAGTTTTGTCAGTTGGAAGGCAGACAGGAAAATTATCTGTTTTCCATGTGCCTCAAGCTACCCTGGGCAGACGCAGGCAGAGGCCCATGAGACTGCATCTTTGTATGTGCGCGTTGAGCTTTAAACAGCCAAGCAGCCCAGGTACAGTCAGTAGGACCATCTGTAGGCAGGACCTGTTCCTAAGGAACCTCCTGAAAAACAGAGTAGACCAGGGTTCTGGAAGAAAGTGGTTTTCTTCAGATTTCATTCCGTTGTTTTAAATACAGTTTTGAAATGCAGAGGGATGCTGAGATGGACCAGGGGAAAGCACTCGTGCTGGCTGCCCCGTGCAGGGGAGAGTGGCTGGGTCCACGCTGGGTCTCGCTTACCAATAGCAGTCCGTTCTGTTCACCTAACGCTGTGCAATTTTGGCATCACCGCGGTAGCAGGGGAAGGGCCAGAGACCCCAGTAGTTACCACTGCCTTTGTAAGTCAGGGCAACATCAGAACTGGCGAAATGCATGTGGAAAAGGGGCAGCGTTTTGGGCATCATGCTGGTGCATGGAACAGAGGGCACCACACTCCCCAGGCAGATCCTGCCCTGCTGAGAGTTTGTTGGTTTATGGTGTGGGTAGGAACCCCCCTACATTTGTGTGTTTGGGATGAAGCTGTGCCCTTGCCTGTGGCTGAGGAGCTGCCAGGGTCGCTGTGCTGTGGCCGACTTCTCAGCAATGTCCACATGGGTCACAGGAGCATGTTTTGGTTGCAGTTAAGATGGACAGGAGAGGAGACCTCTCTAATGATCTTTTGAGTGCTGCTCTGATGCCTGCTTTCTGTTTGTCTCTCGTTTCAGCTGACTGGGATTATTCAAGGCATGGTGGATGGGCAGCCGAGCCTCCAGCAAGTGCTTGAGGTAGGCAGAGTAACCTTTAGTTCCTGAACTCTGACCTCTGGTCCTGTTGTCCGCTCTTCA